TATCCTCAGATTGATTGGGAACGGTCGTTTCTCACGTCGAGTGACATTAGCGCGGGAACTGAGCCGGGGTAGAGTCGCTCGCAGAAGGCGCGGGAAAATTTTATTTTCTGGAAGTCGAGTCCTGTCGCACATAATTTGAAGTATTACCAGTTGCCGTGCATGTCCACTTTGTAAAGAAATAAAAGATGAAGGGCGAAGTATTTCTTGAAATAAACTGCGCTATAGTATTGTAGTAAATTGACAATGGGCATAGGGGCGTTACGATGCACGATGTGTCATGAAATTGTAACACAAATATTCCGCACCAATTGCCCTGAAACACAATGAATCGCAGCAATGCGCCGTAGATGCTGTTGTTGGGTGTGCGGCAGTCTATTAAAAAAACGGATAGCTAAGACATGAGACAGACTGCTGAGAGGCTGTTGGAACTTTGTTTTTCTCAATATTATTTTTTAATCTTGGTTCCATCTCCCCGAAAATGTCACTAGGGATAATGTTAAGAATATCGGGAGCCCATCACAACAAAGACACGTCCTTAAAATACATGCATTTTTTAATCACTATTTGCACAGTACACAGGAGAGACTCCAACAAACACATCTTGATACTTGCTTTTTAAAATGAAGACAAATACGAATGTATGAGAAGCATCATTTTCTGAGTGTTATTTCCTCTCATGTAATTTACCAAGCATGCAGCACCTATAGCTTATGCATTAAAGGTACATATATCATTTGCCTTTGTGCTAATTTTTTTTTCGTTTGAAGCAAAACTAATGTTGAAAATCTTAACAAGGATGCATAACAACTAACCTGTTGAATTTCAGCTCAGTGGATACTCTACATTTTGAGAAAACAGAAATGCACAACAAACGTATGCAAACATTTTGGGGTCTGGTTACAACGATTCCGTTGCTAACTCACGTGAAAAGAACGTAAAAAAAAAAAGAAGATTTTTCGCATTTCAGGCGAAACAATTTCTGCCGAAATACGTTTCCGAGCAATTACAAATGTGGATCCGTGCCTTTAAAGGTGCAATCTCATAATACATATCTCTTGATCTATACACAATCCCAGTAACCGCTCCACCAGCTCATTGTAACTGTTTTTCATGATTTAGTCATTAATTGTTTTTGTTACATACGCGGCTTAAATAGTATACAGACGCAAGTTAAGTGGGGGAACCTATACCAAACATTAGCTGTTTAGGAAATTAGTTAAAGGGTTTTTGATTCTTTACTTATGCTATTTAAAAGATCTAGTTGAAAGGAAACTAACCTAATGTTTAACCGTTCCTGAGAAAAGACGAAGGAAACCATATTGTTTACATCGGACACGACGGTGTACGTAAATGCATTTCCTGTCTTTTTCATTTAATGTACGATTCACGTTGTGTGCGTCACATATATTACACACAGCACCAATACACAAAAGTAGTTTCTTACACGTCCGCAGAAGATGAAGCCTAATGTAAAGTAGATGCATTGTTAATTAGAAGAAGGTCAAACGGATTGTTTCTTTGTGTGTTTTTTTCTCTTTAAGAAAAAAACCCACAAAGGATCTGCCGCCTCTTCACAGCTTTGGGTAAACAGTACCACATGCAAAAACACCCCCACATTTTATGTCTCCGATTCTGTAAACATCAATTCATTTTCTTCGTCTTGGCATTCACGAAGCTCCGTCTAGCGGCGCCGGCTTGCGATGCCCCGGGAAGACAGAGAGGACATTACCAAGAAACGGAAACAATAAACCTTTAATTTTGTTTTTGCTAAGGCGGGATGGATAAACAAACAAAAAACCTGCGTGAATGTACTTTCTGAACAAAGCAAGAATACTGAGGATTTTGGTGTTGGATTAAACTCCTGAATACTGTGTTCGAGCGACAGATTTTGCTAATCGCGTCCACATTAGGGCGACACAACTTATCGGGGTGACGAATTGGTGTCGTCCTTTTGTTAAAACGACCCTTATAAGAAGAAATGTTATTGTCGCAAACCGTCTAGATCGGTTCCTCGTGGTCCAAAACATATTACCGAAACTCGCTACGATGTTTCGCCACAAGTTCGAGCTTTGCAATCTCGTCATTTTAATGGAAAACACATACACAGAAAATAAAGATCACGTTCTGTGAATTAATTTGCAAAAATTATCTTTCTCCATCGATGTCTGTGTGGTGCTTTTACGATCCAACTTCGGCCGACATCATCATCATGTATGCACGCACGAGGCAGTAGTCACTGGTTCCGGTCCTTCATCATAGCATTAATACTGTTAGCACGCGGAGGGAACCAGTGTACCATGCTGTATGCGCTAATATATAGCTGGGTCCTGGCGGTCGACGCGAAAGACCCGTCATCGTGTGCATTTTGATCACACATGCATCAGAAAAACGGGATTTTTGTCAAGATTTTGCATGTCAAGATGAAATAATGGCGTATAAAACGGTGTATGGCGTATTATGTTGTGCATTTTAATGGCTTGTATAATAATTATATTGTGCGTATCGGGGGCTGAAAAATGTGATCGGCATTTTTGTCGGTGTATCGGGCCGCAATTCCAGCGTATCGGGCCGATACGCACGTTTGTACATGGGGAGAACCCTGCAGGATAAGGTAAACCTGGGTTAGGTGACATTTTAGGTTTGTGCACAAGTCTATGGGAAAGTCGCCCTATTATGGCATTCAATGAGATTATTATTATCATTATTATTATTATTATTTTTTTTTTTTTAGATTATTAGGTCCAGGTGCGATTATTCGAACTGATTGTCAATTGACAAAGACAAACTATTATCATGAGTTTCAATCCTTACTTCAACCTGCTCCAAACGTTAAGGAAACGAAGTGTTATGCTGTATACACTGTTGTTCAATGACGGAATATGGAAAGAATTTCACATGTGACTTGTGTCATGCAAATACCATGGGTCTGAACAGTACGAAAATAACGGGACGCCCCTTTTCGGTTGCAAAGTTTTTAAAAGAGCTTTTCTGGCACTACTTTTGATGGCAAGGCCTATAGTTTTTCTGACCCTGGAGGGCGCTGTTGCTGTGATGTCCCTTTTTGGATCTCATTTGCATTTAGAAATTCCAATACAATTTATGAAAGTTAATACAGTTTACTGTAATAAATGCGTATATTATTGGTTCACTGACCTGCTTTCCACGTACTCAAACATTAAAAAGATAATGATATCACAACTGCCCCAAAACAGAGAATTCACCAAATATATAAATTTAAAAACAAAATCATCTTGGGGCATGTGTTCTCAATGAAGCATCACTGATACTCAAACAATGACGTAAAATGGCAGCACTGCTTACTTATGAAAGTTCGAAATTCCACTTACCGAAAATAAATAAGATCACTAGAAATGGCCAAAAAAACCCACAAAGACTGGAAAATGTAATGGGATTCAACGATGCATTCTACAGATTCGCGTATCACAATTGTATTGCAAAATTCTATTGCCTAGAGCCCTCTGGATTCTACCAACAGTGCGATGACCTCTACCAGCATGAAAAGGAAAAGTAAAAAAAAGAAGTTTACATTCCGCATAATCTGTCTGCTGTATTCTCATTAAAGCACCATGAAGTTTTAATGACAAGAAACTTTATGCATTTACTGATGTGCGTGAAATGTAATGACGCACGCATCAGATTTGCGCAAGGCCGTATTGAATACATTTAATTCTCATTGAATGAACATTTCCATTAGAAGATGAAATTGATAATACAAAAAAGCAACGAAATCAAAGGTGCAGCCTTTGAAAGATTTTATGACATGTACATGCATTACCATAAATGCATTTGTGTCTATGGCATAAGCAGCACTACTGATTACTATATTGCATGCTCAATATCCTCGTGACGAAAATATTACGGGTACTTATGGCCAAAGCAAATGCCGAGTTCGGCCTATGCATTTTATCATTTGCTTTGGTCAAATCTGTCCAACGGACAATAACAAAATTTCAAGATGGCCGCATCCATACTACGGGCATAGAACAGGCATTATCACGTATACGGGCGTGAGTTTCCAAAAATGTTACTTCCATTTAAGGTGTAAAAAGTATCAGCGATTTAGATCTCTTCACATCATTATCATCATTTAAAAATGACATGAGCATAGATCAAAACGCTGCCTAATGACATTCATTAATATCGGTCTAGAAAAACACCTCGGTCATATTCTTCACATCAGACTGCAGCTTTGTAGGCTGGAAGCCCGACCTCATGCCATATACATGTGTTCGAGTGAGACATATCGAGGCAGCGTTCAGGCAGCAGCATCGCCTGCCTTCACCCGGTGCTGGATGTGATATCATTTCCGCGGTATCACGGTCAGCCAGGTGTTGTATTGTGTACTGTTGGACAGTCATGACAGCATTTTTTGGAGGGGGGGGGGGGGGTTGACGTGAATTGAGCGACGGATAACGTCAAACGTCGCGATCCACTGATAGAATCTATCACCACGCTGAAGCAACTCGTTTTACACGGCGTCTGCATCACAGGCGCAGATCAGGGCCAAAAAAATCGTTCGGTCTACCCCGCATAAATTATAGTACGCTAAGATTTGTAGTAATACCCATGCTCGAACTAGACAAATCAAGAAATTAAGCTGGACAAAAAAGCTAGTTTCCCCCATGTCTCGATGCAACAGGAAAAACAGAGAGCTGAGAACCAATCATCACTCATTCAAAATACGCCAGATATTCATTCCCAAAGTAAATTCGCGCAAATATCCAAGGGCGTATGCGAAACTCCGTTCAATCTCGGATGACCCGCGAACAGTGTTCTCGGGTTGCCGACTAACATCCAAGTGCGTGTGGACTGGGCGAAAAAAACAAGATGGCAGCCGCCATATTAAAACGCCGAATGAAAAAGAAAAATTAATGATCTTACCCAAACAAAATGTAAATACCGGAACAGCTATTAAATTAGAGAAGACAGTATTCCTGCCCTAGTTTGATGCGAATCTATATAGGGGAGTCTGTACTTACTTATGGATGGCGCTGAGGAATTTCCGTTGGTGTTTTCGTATTCGTCTAGAGCTAACGTTTTTCACCAGTTTGGTGTATTTGTAGATAAGCCACGTCTCCCGAAGAACGTTTGCAGCGGCGTTCTTTAACTGCAATTTGCACGAAAGAGAAAGAGACAGTTAATACGTCTTCAAGAAGTACAAATTCGAAAAAGATTGGATAAGATGAACAAGAGCATGGGGTTGAAACTAACGCTTTGTGTTTTGATGTGTATTAATTCCACTGAACAAAATTTAATCGAAAGGGGAGTTCATCTTGTCATGTACCAAAAAAACCGGATACAATGCCAACATTTTCTAATGTTCCCTTTTCCATTGGTTTGAAAACCAACTCGTCACATTAATATTCTCGGACATTAAATGTTCCTAAAAACGCATAATAACGTATGAATACACTATAACAGCGGCGGGTATATGGGGTGGGGGTTAGGGGTCCACCCAAAAACCAAAAAAATCATGCAGAAAAAAATAGCATATGCCTGCTCCCCCCCCCCCCCAGACAGCTACTGCCCCTTGAGCCAAGCCTGGATCCGCCACTAAGTAGAGCTGGTGTAAGAATGTTGTTAATGAATGGATTTTTGGACTAAAAAGAACCGTCCGTTTCAATGACGCAGAGAGACCATCAATGACACGTACAGAATGTAGTCACATCCCTTGTTCCCATTTTCCCCCTCCGCAAATTAAACCTCCTCCATCTTTGATGAGGAAAAGACAGATTTGGCGCGCCATGAATCGCGCGTCTCTTCCTCGTTCCCAGGGGTAGGATCGATGGATTCAGGTGCAACCAGTTGATCGAGTTACGGCTCGCTACGCGGAACGCAAGGCCCCAGATATCGATCCCAGGCTCCACCTGGTTATTTCATCATTTATGGTGAACTCTTTTTTAATCCCTTCGCCCTCTCATCTGACGCCATATCCATTTCTCCTGCAGATTAGGTAATGGGAGACCTGTCGTCATCGTCCTTGATGTTTGTGGCTGTGGTCACGAACCCTGAAGCAATAGCACAGATCACAACGCCTGGGTACAGCGGCGCCAACCTATTATTTCATTATTTTGGTGTCTGTTTTATGACCTTATAGCCTATTTTTCTTCCCTACAAATTAAGTAATAAAATGAAGTCAAAATACGCCCCGTATTCCAACCTACAGACCATGTGACGTCATGCCAACAGGCGACAGACAGGCAACCCGAACATTGAAGCATCTCTTGCATTTTAAAGGGTGTCCTGCAAATAATGGTGCATGTAAACCCGCCATTTTCGCCAATTTATAACCGGAATTTACTGCAAATGTTTAAACGATCTTCAAGGTTACAGATTTAGCTTGAGAATACCGTTTGTTTGATTAAGATTGCTTTTGTAAATCCAGAGATATGTTTGAAATAACCGCAAAACCAAAAAAAAAACATTCTGTGCCACTTTTAGGAAGCGAGTGCTTCAAAGATCAGACAATGCCACTGCCAGTATGGCTCGTTTGATAAGATTATCCTATGGGTAAAAGACAAACATTCCATTCACACGACAATATATGGTTTTGTTATAATGTTGAAACAATTTAATAGTACAGACAGGTTCACTTCTTTAAAACTTCAATGAAAGAGTTCAATTAAATATAAATAAATATTGCACACTCTGCTTAAAAATGTTAAAATCACAAACAGTAAAGTGATTTGGTTTTAGACTAGGAAAATACTGATTTTAACTGCTTCACAGAAAGTGGCACAAAATAATTGTCTTGGCTTTGCCGTTATTCAAACATATCTTTGGATTTACAAAAGCATTCTCAATGAAACAAATGGTATTCTCAAGCTAAATCTAGTTTATGTTAACACGATTGCACCAATCGCATTTTAAGAGATACGCATGCAGTGCATGGGAGAGCAGTTTGCTGAGACTTGACATCACGTGACCACAACATCCAATTTGTAAAAAAAAAAAAAAGTAACACGGTCCATTCTTGACATTAAAACACTGCGACTTAATAAGGACTGGTTAATGGCTTTCGGTACGTCACGGGGGCGGCAAACGCTGTACGATCATTCGGAAAATCCTAAGCACACGAAACACTCATCGGGTGTGTATACAAGGCTGTTCCGATAATTTATGAGACAATAATCTCATTCGTTGCGCAAGGTGCTTAGTCTTTCCGGACATGATTAATGGCAAATTGTCATGAACATAATCGAAAGACAGGTGTTTTTTTTTGTAAATTCAACCAGCCCTTCGTAATATAACCTACTTTACACAGAGGACTATTAAACAAAATTTGAGGTGAAAGCACTGTTTTGAAGGTAAAGCCAGCGGCAAAAAATACCGATAAACACATAATGGCGTCTAGACACAATGCGATGGACCAATACAACCATCCCATTCAAACAGAGTAAACACTACGGCTGTTTCATGAGGAAGCAAAATCTTGCTGTGAATTGGAAATTCGGTACAATACCGACACTGTTTTTTTTTCTCTTGTCGGAATGAGATTCCATAAGCCACTTACCCTTTTTGTCAACTGTGTGTCCATCATAAAATTATGTACATGCTTCTCAGCTCGGCTGAGTTCTAATTTTGTCGCCAGAACGGCAACTACAAGCGCCGTGCAACCAGCACCCTGGAGGGGAAAAAAAGGAAGAAGTTAAAAGCAAGGTTACATTCTCGTTAAATGTTACTAAAAAGCCTTAAACCTGTCAAACTTTAATTGTTGGCTTTCTATAAGCATTTACACTGTATTATTATTGTGTATGAAAGTGGGGAAACCGTGAATATTTTAATCACGAAACTGGGTTATGGCATAGGTAAACAAAACAACACTTAAAGTCTATCACGCGCCGTACCCTTTTATACTCCTGGGTGGAGAGAGGCAAGAGGGGGTGAAGTGGCTTGCCCAAGGACACAGATACACTACCATACATTTTGATAAGATGTAATATGAAATACATAGAAAATAACAAATGATTTGAACCTCAAACTGCCGGTGTTTATAACGTGATACCAATTTTCCTTGTAAGGTTTATCGACGGTGAATGTGCGGAAGAAAGAAAATATCGCATTATGTGAACGTAAAGCACATGTGGCTACTTCCCTTGATATCGTCCATTGAGAATCAGTGTTGAACAACTAATCACAGTGTATATGTCAAAAAAAACAAGACGTGAATAATTTTCTTGGTGTCTTTTCCAACTGACCGATATCATCCTGTAGAATTTATGTTGATAACAAAGTACTCGAAATTCAGTGGGGATGATATTTTTGTCCCTGGCTTAACCAAAATGACATACAAGCTAAGATGCCAACATTGATGTGACCGTCACTCGGGCGTTCGCGGTAACTGACAGTTTTTTTCCACTATTTTTTTCTCAAGATGTTTATACCTAGTTTCATGAGTGATATTATACAATAAGTTCATCCAGACCCATAAATTCAAGAGTGGCTAGACACGTATATAGGTACCCGTCAGCCCCCCGGGGGACACAGCACTACTAAGTGGCCCATTTTGCATGTCAAAAAAAAAAATCAAAAAGTAAATTTAGGAAAGAAAAAAAAGAAAACACCTCGCGGGGGAAATTACTGCAAGTGCGATTCGGTTTCCACTTCTTGACGGCGGAACCGCATGCATCCTGAAGGGCGAGCGGGTGGGGGGGGGGCTTTCTTAAAAAACATTTCAGCGAGGACTATCGGTTTGACGTCACAAACGGTTGGAGGGCACCGGAACGCCCGCTAGACAGCATGTATAATTGGTTGTGTACTTGGTGAATATAGCTTCACCGCGCTGCATATGGGCTCGACACCATGAATAATTTTAGGTCGATTAGTTTTCAAAATCAATAAACGCAATTATGAGAGAGGTAAAAGCCGGTATACCGATGGGGATACGGATGGGTACACTGATGAGTTTGGGTTAGGGGTGAGACAGTCATGTTAAAGGGGGGTGCTCTTATATACAAAGGTGGTTTCTCGGAAAGAAGTCTTGTTTTTGTTAAGTGCGAAAGATCAATGCTCACTTTACGAATTGCAATACATGTGTAGTCTACGGCCTTTTGAGGATACCATTTCTGCCATGTATGTAGAGATTAATGTGACATGACCACGAGACCCGTGCCTCGTCAATATGGCGACAACTTGGTGACGTCACACGGTAACACCTCAAAATGATCGACAAACGACATGAAAAAGCTACATGCGGGCAGGCAGACGAGAGAGGGCGCACCCTATGAGCCATCAAAGGACGCCAGCATATTAAGCCATGCGCAGTCGATTAAGTATCACGTGGGGAAAATTAGGGTCTTACAAAAGCCACGTGCAAATTCAGAAGTCTGGTGCGATCGTGCGACCGACCCCACAATAATCAATAACCAAATAGTTGCAAAGCCCTTTTTCGTTAATGCACCTTCCCCGTGGATTATTATGCATCGCCGTTGATGAACCTGGCCCACCTTCAACCTGCTCCTTTCCAAAATAAATTCACCCATCGCGATTTCTTCGAAAATCTGTGTAGATTATCTCATCTTGTATGTATGCCGCCATGTTCTAATCACATTAGCTTTTACCCAGGCAAGGTGGAATGATATTCTCTTTCGTATTTTAAGGCAATTCCCCTTGAATCGGATCCGACTATCGGTTACATTTGCCGATCCTTTCTCGCCTGGATTTCTCTATTACCGAGGCACGGTGTAACACGGAGGCCCGTAGCATGCATATGTAGCAAATTTGAAAAAGAAAAATGCCTGCAGAAATAGGCCAATTGCCCCTAGGAATACCCAGGCCATGCATGGAGTAGTACTGCCAAGCGGTGCGAACTCACCGTTCTTCAAGGCGGTGCGAACTAACCGTTCTTAAAGTGTGAAATGTCTGCAGCATAAAGACTCATCCATGAGGCATTTTAATTGGAGGAAGGGAGTTTCCCTGTATTTCCCTAGTGTGGGGGTCTCCTTTTTGCAAATGCATATGCTCTGCACGGCATTTTTTGGTTAAAGAGGAGTTTAAATGAATGTCAGATACCAGAACTCGCTTGGGGCAGCCTACGATCGAGGAAACGCAATCTCCACTTAACTCCGCATAACCTCGAACTAAATTGTCCCGGTTGCGGCTAAAAATTAAGGGTTTCCTTCAAATGAATGTCCCCGATTCCAGCGGAGACGCGACGATACCAAAGTCGGAAGGCATTTTATCAGCGGGCCCCACAACCCGTGAGAATCAAATGCCATTCACAGAATCAAAAATAATAAGAGAGTCTGCTTATTCGGCCGTGCTATCTTTCGGCACCTAATAATTCAATTGTGCACAGTAATTTACCGGTACAAGATAAACCAAGGCGATCGCAGCTGGTACCCGGCAAGTGCACACCAGCAATGTTGATGCAGCTGGCACCCCGACGACTGACAACTAATTCCTTTCAGTTCACGGGTACGTATGACGTCATCATATCTCATTCCAAAGCGCACTTTGGTTGTTTGTTCGATTCGAAGAAAAAAATACTGCAGACGGCTCACATTCAGCGGCGGAAGTAATTTTTTTTTTGCAGAGACATCGCCAGGAAACCCTAGACGAGTTGCAGTGATATAATGTACTTGAAAGGATTGTATGAGGAGGTTTTTAGTTTCTGTTTTCGTATCAGCTGTGCATCCACATCTTATCTTAGCTCACTAATAGCTTTTTGATTTAATATGATAAGGCTACAATGTCTTAAGGTTGCATGAAGTTAAAACAACAAAAAATATGTCTAAATACGACCATCATACTCAACGTTTATTGAATGTGATTTCAAGTCGTTTCAGTTCAGAAAGATGCATTTTTTTTCTTTCGGATGTCTTTCGGTCGCATGACAAAATACAAGGTTCTTATTCCAAACATCGCGAAGATGCATTTATTTACTTGTTTTCTTGTTTGTTTTTTATTTTAACTGGATAGCCCATTCAGTGGAATCCTACGGTCTCCCATGGGGCCCAGTAAAGAGAAGACATCGTGAAGAAATGACAGTTTTAGAGGTGGGAAGAAAACCCCAAAAAATATTCCGACGAAAAACCCCCGGAATCAGGCCGGGACTGAAAACCCAATCCACATAATTGGCCAGGGCAGGAATCGAACCCGGGTCACAGTGGTGGAAGGCGAGGAAGTAACACTACGCGAACCTGACACCCCATTGCGTCGTTTTTGCTGGTCCCAGAGAGCCAGTCTAGTACCATATTTGTACCTGTCTCGCTTACTGACTGACTGCTTGACTGACTGTATAGATTACCCCGTAATGCCAATTAAATGATTTTCAGTAAATAGGCAATTTGAATCAGTTGGGTAGAATTGTGTGCGCTCTGGGACCATCTTTATTATGCTTTCCTTGTGTTGTTTGTTTGTTTGAAATTAAATAGTATGTTATGATCAAGCACATGTGCACATATCGTGGTTTACAGATACTCAAGGACTAAAGTCAGATTTCCATGTTTCATGTACAGAATCACAATGTCATGTTCTGCTGCGAATCATGTTCTCCTGGTTTCAACCACGCCATCTGTTGACAACACTACGCAAGGCAGTGCAAGGCTCCCCACAGTCTAAACGTGCAGTAGTGATAAATCCTCCTCCCGAACAGCGAATATACAGCGAATACAAAAAAAAACTTAAGTGAAAGTGACAGTTCAACTTTTAGTCTTATCAGATGTAACGAATGCACCAAAAGAAATGAGAAATTTATTCGATAATCTCCCAGAACGGAAAACTCTTTCGTCAATTTACATTCAAAGAGTTATAACGACCTCAGAGGAGCAGCAAGCGAAATTCATGCAAATCATCGAAATGAATCGGTCCACTTTTCTTTTTGGAAATGACTGTTAAAGCAGATGCATTACTGATGAGGGAAAATGCAAATGACAAAGTCCTGAGGGCAATAACCTGAAACGATAGCCAGAAATAACAACTCTGCCCGCATATTTTTCTGAAATAAAGCTGTTTGGCTTAACTTGTTATGCGGGTTTCTCTTTTAACTTAAATCTACCCCTGTTATTTCAACATCCAACTAAACCCAGATTATACGACATGTAAACAAGGTCATACCATTTTTTTTTTGCGACGGACAAATTTTTGTTTATCAATGTTGGGAATTTGTCCTCAACCGGATGCACAGGAAAAAATCAATGTTCAAGAATTCTGGCCGCTGCACAGGTAAACAGCTAGATTAATTATCGTTCTTAATTAAATAGCATTGCGTCGAAAGTGTAGCAAGGTTAAGTGACAGCTGTCAATAAAAAGAGGGGAGCTGGGATACCAGACCAAAGATGGCGTCCTCTGCAATTTTCTTTTACGTTTTATCCAAATGTTAGAATTACAATCATCATTTGCAACTAAGAGTTGCCACTTGGTCAGCACGAGGCATTTATAATTTTATTTGGTTTCCAAAATAGTTAAGTCTAAAATTCTGTTGCCAAAGAAAAAAAATGGTCTTAGAAAGAATTTTCTTAAGGCAGGTTAGATACATCTCACGAACGTAAATGAACAAGGTTGAACACAGCTCAATGCTACATCTTGCTCAAACTTCGCATGTGTCGCGTGTGTCCCCCTCCTTGCTGTGGGGCGCGAGAGCAAAGATTGGACTAGATTTGACAGGCTTGAACCAGATTGGACCAACATCCTTAAGTTACAACGCCAATATGCACTTCCTCTACCCGATACCTCTCACCCACTCATAACGATTTAGGTAGATTTTTTTCTAGGTAGAAACAAAACCTTTGACAGGATGGAGCAGGACAGAATTAGATTGAACTAAAATTGCACCGGCTTCTAAATTACTGTTTAACCTGGGCAAACCAACTGCTGTGGCTCATACTATTTTGGTACTTTGTCCACGTTGGCCTACAAGCAAAAGACGAGGGCAGAAAAGATGGGGATTCGGTCAGTCAGAACTAGATTGAACTGGAATGGACCGGCTTATTACTGCAAAAGTAACCTCAAATCAGGCGCATCCATATGTATTTGATGTTTGACCTTTTCTTCCAAGTCGTAGTATTTTGTACCCTGTCTTTTTCTACCCGGCCATTGGCGGGGATGCGGATTAGACTCGTTTGAACTGGACTGAACTGGCTTGGACCGGCTACTTACCATTATACTTGTATAAACACCCTTACATTACAAGATGCAGTCAAGAGGCAGCCAAAAAAAGGAATACTACTTGAGAGCAATGGAGATGAAAACCCCTGGTTTTTGGTGTGATTTATATCAGACTGGTTCGAACCGGACTGGACTGGATTGGACCGGCTACTTACCATTATACTTGTATAAACAACCCTTTACATTACAAGAGGCAGTCAAGAGGCAGCCTTAGAAAGGAATAATATTGGAGAACATTGAAGACGGAAACTCCTGGTTTTTGGTGTGATTTTTGGTGTGATAAGACTGGTTCGAACTCGACTGGACTGGATTGGACCAGCTACTTACCATTATACCTGTAATAACCGAAACTCCCCGCCCACAGTAAGTATTTGGTACCATGTCCCCGTAGCCAATAGAAAGGAATGTAATAGACACGATCCACATCGCGTTAAGAATCTCCCCGTTATCTTCATCGTGATATCTGTGGAGGAAAAAAAAGAAGAGATAAAAAATGAAGTAAAAGAGACAAATTACTAAAGGTTAACAAGATTCTGCATTCAAGAAATATCAACTACGGCCGCTAGGCAGAATGCAATTTGACAAAGATAAGGGGCCCCAAGCAATCTGACTGCAATTAAACATGACTGGGCTTCGCACATGGGCAACTCCTCAGCACTTCCAATCGATAACTGATAAGCGAACCGGACAACTGGAAACAAAGCAGAATGCATAATGAAGAAGCAAGATAATACATATTACGATTGCAAGAATGCACACTGTGCAGTCGATGCCAGAGATTCAATGATCTATGCATTATTTTCATCCGTCAATTAGTGTGAAATGCATGTATAATCCTCAGAAATTTTAAACGAAATCGACTGATGAAAAGAAAAACGACGTTCAAAAATGAATACAATAGTTGCAGGCGTATATGAGTTACAAAATTGTTACCAAAGTGAGAATTATATACAGGAGAGTAAATCTCCGCCCTATACATTATATCATCTCAAATTCGAATCAGTGCAAAGAATCAATAGGGAAGAAGAATTTTGAATGGATGTTCCCGCGAACATGAAATTTAACATGCATAAAAAAAACAAGTACGTAACACTTCTATAGGCCTACCAAAAACCAATTTACGACCCAGTATTGGATCCGTGAAATTAATTTTACACTGAAGCAAATTCGCAGCAAATATCCATTCCTCTGAAATGTATAAAAACTATGAGACATCCCTTTTTGGTGAAAATGTTTGGAAAGTTAAACATTTTTTTAACACATTTATAAACGTTTCATGCTTTTCCTGACAACTGGGGGCGGTGTTGCTGTGATGTCACTTTAGAAACTCACTTTTCAGATTAGTTTTGTTCTCTTCAAATATACCCCAAATTCTTATTGAAAACATTCGTGCATAAAGTTTTATCATTGTCGTACTGTCATATACTGATTCAACAATGAACCACTGAAAGCAGAAAAATAAAAAATAACCACAGCAAACCTCTAAAACTGGTGACCTTTTTTATGCTGGAGCAGATGTGAAACTGAAGTTTTTGCCTTGAATAACATCCAAGTTTTGCTCATGAATATGGAAAATGGTATTAGCATAAACCCCCAAAAGCACCAAAATGCCCTTAAAATGGCAATATGAAGATAAAGCATAAAGTTAAAGATAACACAAAGGTAAGTTTCAAGGATTGCATTCAAACAATACCATTACATGAGCCCTTTGCATGTTTTGTTCATACCAATGTCAGTCACTCCATTTGACAGATTTCCTTGCAATATAAACACATGTCTTCAGACTATGTGGTAAGGTATACTTTTCAGGTATATTTTTGCGGCATGACTCATACCGTGAACGTCATTTCAAAAATGTCTGGGTAGGATATTTAAGACAACTGCCGTTATAACTTAGATAAGTTTTTTATGGTATTTGTGCCGTCTATAATATCTCTTAACAGTCTTTACTACACAAATGTATATACAAAATGTGCCTAGCGTAATTCTACCGTAAAACAAGTGGCATTATACGCCATGGTGTTAAGTCTCAACAAGGAATAAGCAGTGATTGACTTCACTATATTTCCGCAAACCCATTAAGTGTTTGCTTTAATGCATTCACGTGGATGAATGGCAGAGTTGCAATCAATTAATTTACCGTGGGTGTTTTAAAGAAAACAGTTACGGGCAATTAATATAGAAATCGATTCTCTCTGCTCGGCCCTATACGGGCGTAAATGAGAAGTTAACAGCGTGAACGTTAGAGGTATTAACGGGGCACGGGAAATGTGCACGTGCCAAAAGGACGAATTAAGATGCATATAAAAACAGACTTGCACTGGCCTAAAGAGTTCTTATTAATTGATTGACCTCCTAACCTACACTGCAAAAACTGGAGTGTTCAATTTACACCATTCGGTATCTATATAGGACCATCTGGTGTTAAATTTTTCTGGTGTTGTCCTATATAGATACCGAACGGTGTTAAATTAACACTACAGTTTTTGCAGTGTACAATCACTATAATGGTACCATTTGAATACATGGATATTTTAACGATTTTAGCAGAACTGAAGTTTTCAGTAAATAACCTCAAAGTGGACCTGGCTAGGTGCGTGTACAATAACTATCCACTGGAGCGGGATTGAACCTGCGACCTCCAGTATGATAATCCGAAGGTCGCAGGTTCATTCCCGCTACAGTCAATCTCTTTGTTAACTTGAATATATATTTTCTCAACGAGAAGAACATACTCATGACTTTATTGATACCATTCAATACAAGACTATTTCGGTAAGCGGTTTGCTATATTTCAATACAGTCAAGGATATCGTGAGTAGCACATGAGGCATGAACCGCGTCGATGCGAAGAATATTGTGACGACACTGGTTAGTTTAAATGGAGAAAAGTTCGTCAAGTGATCGCACTATACTCCAATAGCACCACAGATACCATGCGTCGTGTCTCAACGTTATACCATCACAGCTGTATCGCAGAGGTATGTCTGGCATCAGGAATGTATAATAACCCCGCATTTGTAATTGTCTTTAATACAATTTTGTACAAAAACAAAATTGCTTTACAGATATCATTTAAATTATGAGTTGCAATTTATGGCATGATATTAAATGATGATTATCTCTGATGCTCCGCATCATTTTCTAATTTTCACCCTTCTAACTTTACATATTATGAAGTGTACCTGTTATTTAGAAATACATTTTCAATTTAATCTTGTTATTTTTTTTTTTAGTTAATGGAACGGTCATACCCGCCTAATCAAAGAATGCTGACATCACAAATGAGTATCAATGCACCTGCTGGGATTCAATTATAGCCTAAATACCCTACAAGCGTTTACGAGTTCCGAGGATCAACCATTCATCAACAAAAGGTCTCGCAATGTGAAGAGATGGGGTTAGGCTTCGGGTTTTTAACCGCCTTTCATCATGCAATATCCCTGCTGGTGAGGTGCGGCACGTTGCAATAAATAACTATTATGATTGGTAAAATTGCAGTCTTATTTTTTTTTTTTTTTTTTTGGCTTCCCAGTAATAGTACAATGGAATTGAATTCAATTGAATTTTAAGGACTCTCCCTTCCCAATTTCTTGTATTTGCCTACAAAGAACTACGGCTGACACAGACGGAGCGTGAAACAATACCCTATAGCCCGGGGGGTGTTTCGAAAGCCGTTTTTGTTAGGTCCAAACCGTCGTTTAAACACTGGCACCAAGTTTTTCTCTTCTTGAAAATGATAGCATACCAAGCACAATTACTTCGCAGGTTGCTATGGCACTATTATTTACTTCCCATCAAGTAGGCTGTTTCATAATATTTTGGCAAGTTTGTTTTAAACATTTGCAGATGGTGTACATCACCTTCAAGCTGAATGTCTCAAAATTACGTTCAAGTGCACCAAAGTAGCCCATAGTTCAAATATTTGAGGGACACTTTTACCACGAAGGGTCACATTTTTTTTTTAAAGGAAAAGACCAACCCCTCGCACCAGGGTGGATAAAACTGGTTATATTTTACAAGATGAGAGCTTAAACACAAGCAATATTAAGGCACGTTTTCAGCACTACATCCAATTGCATTCAAGACATTTACACACATATTCATGATAAATAAGCGCCGCTGCAATCCGTAGCAGAACTTTAACACAACATCCTTCATAGTTCATTAGTCATGGAGCATTTCGTATATTATGATACTGTAACGAATTAAGTATGCACAACCATGACGCTTTAGTAAGAATGGCATAACTAGCGTTGAAAAGAATTATTTCGGGAGGTTATTTCAACTTGTTTGGTGACGGTCTCCCAGGATATAACACCTACACTTTTTGTCATAAGCGGATACTAAAATTCAAATCAAATGTTGTTGCGATAGATCTGTAATCTATATTTTAATGTCTGATCCACGACAACAGAGGTTTACACACACAAATGTTTTTCCCTCGGTGTAATTAAAGTTCTATTTCCCAAAAGAAAAAAAGGGGGGACTGGGAGAGTTGGAATGACCTGAATTCAACAAGGGGATTAGGCCTATACACAGCCTGAAATGCACCGCGCTGACAGCCTCACACTGCACTTATACATCAATACGCGTGCGGGACGTGCGCGGCGTCACGCGAAACACGAGTACTCGACCCCCGGATGAATTCCTCGAAAAAAAAAGTACTGCCGTGTCCTGCAGGGCTCCGTACACCTTGCTTCTTTCTCAGGGGTGGCAATTTCACGGTGTTTTGTCCCGTACCCACATACAGGCTCGACTATCAGGCTCCCTGTACATCATTGTGGGTCTACACGCGGCGGCTTCCACCCTAGGGGGAGGAATATCCGGGGCAGTGTAATCGAACTTACACACAGAGTGTTTCTACGCCGACTGGCATGAATACATGCAAGGGGTCGGGTTCGCATTGTCCGTGTCGCCCATTCGTAATTTGACAGGCGTCGATATTTCTCTGAATGCGGTCGGTTATCAATGAGATTGAAAAAACAAAGTACACATGATCCAACTTCGTATCTCAATTTTAACGAGTAGGCCTATTTCAAGGAAACAAAATTTAAGGGCAACTAAAGCAGTTGAGCTTCAAAGCTTCTACGTCAAATTCAAATAATTTCATATTGGACTACAAGGCAAAAGATATTTACCGTGTGTCGATTGGGGGGGGGGGCATTTATCTGAAGATGTAAAAACAAAATCAAAACTGTTCCTGCTATAATGTATCTAATTTCCTACAATAAAGGTGAAAAAACATTTAGGATGATTTATTGCTCAAAGTCTAAAATCCAATATTATTCTTTTCAAGCTTTGACACTATCATCTGGAGAAGTTTCCCAAGCGAACGGATTGGTCAGTGCGGCGGATAGGTAATCATAGCTTGTGTGGTCTAGTGAGGTCATACGAAACTCGCTATCCCCAATGCGTGTTCACTGCACAGGGTGATTAAAAAAAAACGAAACCCAAATGTCG